TTCAACACTACCTCAATGAGAATAGGATAGGGCATGCCGCATATATTTCAACAAATGAATAGCAAAAATGGAATTAATGTAGTATGTAGGAAAGGAGAAAGTGACAGCCATGTTCCTGAAGAATTTAAGGATCATGGAAGTAGATGGTCACTATGATCCTGGCTGGGAGCCCCCAGGGTCAACAGCTTTTATAGCTTACTTCAAACCCCCACTGTTAAGTTACATGAGCATGGTAGATGGCAGTGACCTGAATATGCCTCCCTAAGAATGCAGGGTGGGGCAAGAGTGAGTTTACAGTGGGGGGTACGTGAAACACAGAGTTTATTCTTGTATTATTATTGATTAATTATTGTATTATTTTCCATACAAACAACTGTAAACCTATTTTTGTGCCACCCTGTGGGCCACATAGACTTAAGAAACATGACAGACCTAGAAAGAGCAGAACTCATCATTTTTTCAATAAATTAGCTTTCTCTTTAGCCCTGGGTTAGCAAACTGCTTCATGAATAACAAGGAGAGTTGTTTAATTCTGGACAGTGGGATCTTCTGTTTGATAAGAATTGAATTACTGAGTGTTTTAGAAAAAGGAAAGACTTTCTGTGAAGGAGCAAGGAGGAGGGAATTATGCTGAAAGGGGAGTGGTTAGAAAGACAAGCTTTAGACCAGAGAATTGTTGGTGGAGCAAGGCTCTGGGTACGATGGAGTTGGCCCGCCTGCTGCCTCCTGAATCCGTGCTGTGCTCATTGACCCTGTCGTAAACAGTGGGGGCCAGGAGATTCTCTGCAAACACTCAGGCAAAGGTCGCCCATAATCTGCAATGGACGGTAGCACCTGCCTTAAAACGGACACCTGCCCCTCGCTTAGCAGCAGGGTTGGATGGAGGTTGATTCCTGCTAATCCATATGCCTCTCCTCCTCTGCGCTACCAGTTGGAGACCAGCCTCAAATGCTGTGCTGGCTGTGAAGAAAAGAGCGCTAGACCCCCAGGCATGGCAGATTCCGTTACCTCCTAATTTTAGAATAATAATTATGCTGGGGTCGCTGACGAAGAAAGCCACATTTCCCAGTTTGCAAGTATCATCACTGTCGTTTTCACTCTAATACTAAGTCAGGGGTGGTCAAAATGGCGGAGTTGATGCTGGTGATGGAGTCGATGGTGGTCATACGTGCCAGGTCTGCTGGCACATATTTCCGCTAAATTGACCCTACTATGAAGTCACATAAAAAATAACACCCAGTCAAAATGACTTACCTATAACAAGTGCCACATAAAGCTATAAAAAGCATTCTTATGGTATATGTTTAAAAATAAAAGTGCCTTTTTGTGGGGGATTTTTTGGTGGCATCCGTTAATGCCTACCTAGCATTCTGTGTGACATATTCCTGCCAGAGGTGACAAATCCCCAAACTCTGCCGCCCACAGGGCAGTAATAACAATGATGACAGCCCCTGCCATTTTCATCTTCAGGCTAATTGAACATCCATGGAAAGTAAGTTAATATGGACTGTGTTAGCAGCGTCTGGAGTTGTGACGGTCCCTGACCGAGCCTGTACCGTTTGGGGCTGGGACTGAGGAACTGGCATTTTGCGGGGGGCAGCGAGAATTAAAACAGTGGGCCGCAGGAGAGCTCGCGGCGCTTAGGTAACACTGAATCTGCCACAGCGGGTGGACCTGTGTGTTCATGAAGAGTAGTGGGAGAAGTAACTGGAAAGATGAGTCGGGTGGGACAGTTTCTTCTGGCTAGAAGAAAGGGCGAGGACGCCGGCAGAGGGCCCCAGGGGAAGGCAGGACAGGCTGGCCTTTTCCGAGTGATCGGGGGTGGAGGGGGAGGCCATGGCGATGGGAAGTCACGTGATGAAGGCCACACGGTGGGACCTTTAGAAGGAATGTGCTGAACATGGAGCATTTAAAAGTGAAATTGAATATGAGGGGAAACTGGAAATGAGGTGATTGGCCATCCAGTCTTGTAAATTGCCTTTTACTGTAAGATAAAATGTATTTCAAGTGCAGCTACAGTTTTTCTTGGATACAAACATCCCATGTTGAATCAAATCAAGAAGCAAGGGAAGGTAGGATGTTTACTGTTATAGGATGTAAGAGGAAATAAGATGGCACAGTAAACCCTCACGATTTGTAACTTCTGAATCCCAAAATATACACATTCCACCAAAGCCGATCATGTTTCCCATAAAATACAGTGCAGTGTGACTTCATTGGAGGAACCACATGCGCAGCGGCAAGGTGACCGGGCAACGCGTGGAGACATGTGTGTGGGGTCCGGGTGGCCGCCCTCATGCACCTGCCTGGGGGGGCGCGTTTGGGGCCTTGACAAATTCACATCGGAATTCTTGTCATGGATGGGACACTTTTAAAGTCATGTTTTTTTGTTGTTTTAACTACCTTTTCTCCAAAATGGGTTTCCAATAAGCCGGGTTCTTTCCCTTTGAACTCACATGATTATGCCCGAACTGCCTCATTATCACAACAGCCGAAAATCTTTCTCTGGCTTTAGATCGCCACCACTTTGCTGGCCATGTCCCTTCTCCCGAGAGTAAGAGCCACACACGCGCGCTCACACTCTGTCACACACACACACACACACACACTCATTCTTTAACTCCTTTCAGGCGTGTGGCTACCCAAAAGCTCTCTATATCTCCAGTGCTGTTTGGAGTTCAGCTGTAAACACTCCCAGTTGACCACAGCTCACCTCACAGGGCCCCGTGGCCAACAAATGCTTCTTTTCACTACAACCCCCTCTCCCCTCATGTGGGAAACCTATTGGAAAGCTCTTTAGGATGCCCAGTTTATGGAAGGAGGTGGCAGAACCAGCTCTAAGTGACCTTGAGTGCCTGGGGTGTGTTTTAAGAACAGGAAGAGAGGGCTTCTCGTAGGTCACGCTCAACTTCGACCGGCTTTTCCATGTTCTAAGACCTAGGCCAGCCGATTACTTTAAATTAAAATGCATATTGTAATCGACATCTCAGCATATTATAATTGGCATGTAGGTAAACAGTGTCTAATGAAGTGTCGTACTTATTGACTAATTCCAAACTTTAGAAAATTCTAAATCACATTCAGCATTAACCATGTTTTCCTCATGTCCATTCCTCTTTAACCCAATATTGAGGAATGACTATGTTCTTAAAATGAAAAAGTTAGCTGACAGACTCATCTTCTCACATTTTTCATAATAACTAATACTGTAAACATAAATGCAACCAACATCTATAATAGTTATACCCATCTATCCTAGAGTCTATAGACATTCCCTAAGCAAGAAAAGAAACAATGGTTACTTTACAATTCACTTGTGAGGCAGAAACAAGATGACACAGTGTACTGGTTACTTAATTACTTATTTTGTAACCAGTCTATAGTCCTATAAGACGGGGAGGCAGATGACCCTGCCAGAGCTTTCCAATGTCCTAGTAGGTTCTCAGCTTCTTAAGGAGACCCAAAGTGGCACAAGAGGTTCCCTGAGCCAGCCGAACAATCCTCTCTCTTCTTCATCCAAACCTCTTGTCCTCCAGATTTTCTTCCTGCCATCATCCTCCACCGCCACCTTTTTAATAAAAAGCTCAAAAGGGGAAAACTCAGAAGAAAACCTGCTGCTCTGAGTATTTTGTTTTAGCCTAAGGAGCTTCTCCAGATGAAAAATTATAACCGGCGGGTCCCCATAAGCAGGGTGGTGGGTCCCCAGCCATGATCCCCAGCCCCAGGGAGAAATCTAGTGGGTCCGATTTTTTAAATCGCTTCCATTTCACTTAGAATTGAGGCTCACCGGGTCACCATAGACACGTGACATTTCTTCCCATCTGATTTTCTCTGGCACATGGTTCAGGCCTGGGAAGCCAGTGAGATGCCCTGTGTGAGGTGTCGGTGATAGAAGATGCAATGCAACGTGAACCCATTGCATTTGGCCTTAAGCAAGCTCAATGCCAAAGCTAACGGGAGCTGGCCGTTTCGGTGTCTGTATTACCCCGGAGCTGCTGGGGCAGAAAGGAAGGGAAGGCAAAGGTGAAGAAATTGGTGGGGACGCAGCTAAAAGCAGGCAAGGGTGTTTCTGACTGTCACAATTGGCTCTATTTTTACAAGCTGTGTCATTGAGGGTAGTCTAACAGAACCAGGTATCAACTGCCCCCTGCTGTCTGACAGAGAGAAGTACACAAAAACATCCCCTTCATTAGAGTCATAATCTGAATGCTCACAGTGAATGCAGGCGGATCGCAGAAGCCAAGGACGTGGCAGGTCACCTAGATCCTCTCTGCTGTGAAGACAAAGGGAGGACGAGAGTTGGAGGCGTTATAAAAAGTACCATTTGGGGAATTTGGAGAGCTGCCTTATTACTCCTATTACAGCCTTGCTTCTCGAAGTGTGGGCCATGGTCCAGCAGCATCAGTATCTCCGGCGAGCTTACTGAAAATGCAGAGTCTCAGGCCCCGCCTTTCGCCCCGCGAATCAGAATCTTCACAGGATCGCAAGGTCCCCAGGCGATCCGTGTGCCTATTGACATGTGAGAAGCCCTGAGTATAACTCCAGAAAGAGCTTTGACCCTGGAGAAGGCCCACTGTGCTCTAAGGTTTACCTCCAACTGAATTCAGTCTGAACAGCGAATAAACTGAATAGGAGAGTTTATCCCTTGCGAAGGTCCTGATTTCCTTATGCCCTCATTTTCTTAATACTCTTGGTTTATATGTGCCCACCTAACACTACCTCCTTCCTTCACTTGCCCTATGCCACGTGACTTGCCGTAGTTCAACAGCAGCTGGCCCTTGCCAAGCAGTGTCTTTTAAAACCAGTCGGTCCCAGCAAGGATGCGAAAGGCGTCGATTTTACCTCCGGCAGCTTCTGCGTGTCCCTTCGCTTTTGTTTGCTCTGGTCTTCTCTCTCAGTCCCGGTCCCGGCACCTGCTGGTACGGTTGGGCCCCACACGCTGGAGCCGCCCCGTGCATGGTCGGTCTGTTGCTAACCCGGAGTGTTCTTTTCCGCGCCAGGTCAGGGAAGAGTGCCGGCTCCTGAACGCCCCACCTGTTCCGCCCCGGAGCGCAAAGCCTTTGTCCACCAGTCCCTCCATCCCTCCTCGCTCAGTCAAACCAGCGCGGCAGCAGACCCGGTCTCCCAGCCCCACCTTGTCCTACTATTCTTCAGGGCTGCACGACATGTAAGTCTTCACGCCAGGGCCTTCTTCCGCAGGACTCTCCTCCTCGGCCAGGTCGCGGGGTCTGGAGAGGCATGTGTAGGTAGCCATCACCTAGGCAGGTGGTGGGAGAGAAAATGTTCTTTATGGTTTTAAACAGTTCTCCTGGAACCGCATGATGGGCCCTTGTTGGGTTTGAGCTAGCGTGAAAGAGCCAGTGTCCTAGGAAGAAAAGATACCAGAATCCATGCGAAATTCAGTGATGAAAGCCAACCGGATCCTCTTAGAAGCACCCCACGGGCTGCCATCGGTTCGCACAAACCAGCGCGCAGAGTTCCTTCCACTTTGACTTCAGCACAAGCAGACAGACAGCACCTTCACCTGGGATTTAGCATGAAAGGGTCTCATGGCTCACTCTCTCCTTTGAATTTGCAGCCAGGACAGGAAGCCCTTCTTGACCATTGCAGTCAGGTAGTCATTCACTTCTGTCTGGATCCTTCCAGTGTTTGGAGCTCATTCTTTTGCAATGCAGCTCATTTCATTGTTGGCAAATGCCAATTACTGTTTTGTTTTGGTTTTTTTTTAAGAAACCTTTCATCCCATCGAGTTGAAATCTATTTCCATGTAATTTCCAAGTATTTCTTACGTCTAGAAAAGCAAATATAGGTCCACTTTACCTCTCTTTGTCAGCCCGTGGAAATGTGAAGTCAGCTAGGATGTAAGTCTTCTCTCCTCAGTTCCATCAGCTGTTTCCCGGACAGCACCACCTGATCACCCACCTCTGACACACTCTGGCCTCACTGTCACTCTTAAACTGTGGCCCCAGAGCTGAATGCACTTGGATGACCCCCAGCTGATCTTTACAGTTTTAAGTAGCTCACCTCTGCAGGGATTTTTTGTTCTCCGGACGTTTAAACTTTTATGCTAATGTGAGTCACTGTACAGAAACGAAGGCAAGCGTAAGCATTTTATTTGAAGCATTTCCTCCTCCCTCGGGCTTTTGGATGGAAATAGAATCATGGGTGGGGGTGATGTAGTCATGTCACTAGTACAGGGATGACAAGCAGGAGACGCCATAGATTGCTTTCTCACCCCACCCTCGCCCGCTGCAGACATCACTGATCAATCACATGCCTGTCGATGATACGCCCAAACATGGCTTAAGAATGTTTCTCATCATAAAGGTCTAGGCATCCACTAACAATGATTTTCTTGCTAGTTAAAAAAAAAAAAAATTATATATTTGGCATCTCCATTGCAGCATTTTAAATCATTATGTTTATATCCATAATTACCAATATTTTTAAGTAATGTAAAGATTCTGTTTTTAAAAAACTCAATGAGGTTAGCAGGTCCTTCACTGAATTCATGATAAGAAATATTGCATATTTTTCTAACTACATTTTTCTAATCAGAAGTAAGATCTATGGGAGAAAGGCTTGGGATGGAACTTCTATTTCTAAACGAATCTCCCTTTCTCTGCTTGCTTTTAAGCAGCGTTACTAAAAGCGACGCCAGTCCCTCTGAAAGTGCCCCCGTTTCCTGCTATCCGTGTGACCGAGTGAAAGCCGATTCTGTGGACCTGAAGTCCCCCTCGGGAAGCCCTTCCGCCGACGCGCTCTCCTCCCGGCTCTCGTGGCCTAACCATTACTCGGGAGCCTCGGAGAGCCAGACCAGGAGCGACTTCCTGCTGGATCCCAGCCGGAGTTACAGTTATCCTCGGCAGAAAACACCAGGCACACCAAAGAGAAACTGCCCAGCACCTTTTGATTTCGAAGGCTGTGAGCCCTCGGCCTGTCCCACCAGCTCGGTCCCTGCAGAGTCCAGCAGCAGCGTCTCGGGCTGTCCCAAGTCAGCCAGCTACTGTCTGGAGAGAACGGATGAGAAAACTCTCGTAGCTGGCACAACAAAGCAGAGTATCTCATGCCCTGCCTTGCCTCCCAGGGCCCCAAAACCAGTGGAAGAGAAAGCCTCCTCTGCGGCTTCTCCTTTGCCTCTGAAAATCGATGGTGCTGAGGAAGACCCCAAGTCTGGGTCACCGGACCTCTCTGAGGACCAGTATTTTGTTAAAAAGGGCATGCAGGACATCTTCTCGGTCTCTTACCCCTTCTCGTCTCCACTGCACCTCCAGCTGGCCCCCAGGTCCTGCGGCGATGGCTCCCCGTGGCAGCCACCCGCTGACCTGTCGGGACTCTCAATTGAAGAAGTGTCCAAGTCGTTACGGTTTATCGGTTTGTCTGAAGATGTCATATCATTCTTCGTTACTGAAAAGATTGATGGGAATTTGCTTGTCCAACTAACAGAAGAAATCCTCTCAGAGGATTTCAAATTAAGCAAACTGCAGGTGAAGAAAATCATGCAATTCATTAATGGCTGGAGGCCCAAAATATAGCCAAGTAACCCTGGCTAGCATTGAATAAAACTGATAAATGTGTGTGTGCTAGAAGGGCTGGGCTAGGACACAGTTTCATGTTTTTTGCACTAAAAACCTTCTCTGTAAATAGGGATAAGAGAAACTCTTACTATACAGATTCCGTTTTTGAATGGTGAACAGGCTATTTTGTACGTCAATAAAAATGCTGTACAGAACAGCTTAGAGGTGTGCCTTGTACGCCACTCAACACTCAGCAGCTGCTAAACAAAAGGCACGTTCAGAGAAGTAATTCTTACCCAAGTAGGCTTATGCGAGAAGGTATGATATTTATTACAAAATAGCCAAAGCTGAAAGACATAAGAATCTTTAAAAAACAAAAAAAAACTTTTGAACAACAATTCCTTCCTTTGGGGGAATCGACTTTAGACAATTAACTCTATTCTGTGCTCTGTTGTTTGGATTACACAATGCTAATTGTTTTACTCCTGTGCCTGACAATGTTAGTGATCTGAAATGACACTTTAATGTTCTATGCTTGGTGGGGATCTTTTCATCAAAAGGCATTTTCCAAAAGTCATGTGTTGACAGAAGATAAATGACGTCCTTAGAAATAGTACAAACCATGACCACAATAATTATCTGTAACTGCTGCTAATTTTATTGAGCAGAAGAAAAAAAAACAGAATAGATACAAATATGTATGTATACACAATACAAATGTATATGTTTTAAACATCATTTTCAGTCTGATATTTTAGATAACGTCTATTCCCTTCCCAATATCCACTGAGGTTCGGGGCCATTAACTAAGTTGCCTCTCATAGGAAGAGCAGATAGAATGACCCAGAGGGTCTTAGAACCCTGCCCTTAGAAGCTCAGACTCATTAGGGCTTCATCACTAAAACTTTGGAAGAAATCAATAGAGAGCCTGTTTGGAAGAATTAAATTTGATTTTAGGCCTATGGGAGGCTGGGTTTTGCATAAAATACTCCCATGCTAATGTCTGGGGAAATGACAATTTCTGTCAAATGACAATTCTTCTCGGGTTTGAGGGTCTTATTCTTCTGCTCTCTGAAAGTGAGGTCTGAAGAGGTTTCTCTGAGTGCGTTAGGTGCTCTCAGACATCACACACCCATCTTCTGTTATGCGCAACATCTGTGGATGCATCTGTGGAGTCCTTTTTAAAAGTATTGATTAGTATTTGTGCATAACCATCGTCATTCCTCTTTTCCAAAGAAAAAACATTACCACCATACTTTTATAAAGAATTTCAGAACATTATTCTGTCGAATTTTGCCAAATGCCCTTCAATATTCCAAAATACAATGGCCTCACCATAATTTTTGACTTTTTGCAGGAATATGGATCTTAGCAAAGTTTAGGTTCTCCAAGCAAGCCGTCCCCATATAGCCCAGGGAGTTTGTGCCCGGATTCTGGATGTGCTCTGTGATGGAGGTGTCAGTGCAACTTGCAGGGTTGGCTCATATCTTATTAATTGCTCTTCCTGCCCCCTGAACTAAATAAAAAATGTAAAGACAAGACCCATCCATTTAATTTTGCATACCTGTGCAATATGGCTTTATTTCTTGGTGTTCAAGATATTGGTAATCTATCTCATGGTTTAGAATTGAGATGAATTGATACCTCTTTGTTTTCCATCCTAAATGTCTTTTTTTTTAAAAAATCTATGTAGAAGCTTTCAGTAGTGCACTCATAGGACAGAGGACCCTCAGTCACTCTCATGTTGAGAGAGCATCCTTCGCTCTGAGGGGCAACTTCCTTAGCAACGTTAACCTCTCAGAATTTTCCCTTTAAATTAATAGAAACAGACAGGATGCCATTGAAAAGCCACATGTTTTATTTTTTTCGGCAAACTCTTGCCAAATCCAGTTTTAAACACATAGCCCTTGGACACAATTCTCTAGTTCAGGTGAGAGGAAAGGTGAGTTTGGGTTTACTGCAATGGCTGCTCCACATAAACAACTGACTGCTTTGATCTTTATTTGCAAAAACTTTACACAAAATAGTGTCCGTTGTTTTGTCTTGACCTGTTTATTGAGCTTGTGTTGATGGCAATATAGAGACTCCTAGAGGCAAGGGCAGGTCTATGGCCTTCGATGTGTGCATTCAGAATTTATCGAGCATCTTTCCTGTGCCAGGCACTAGGCTGGCATGACTCGACAATGCTGACAAAAGGATATAGCTCCTGCCCTCTTGGAATTCATAATATTTATATTTTAAATTACAGTTGCTGAGACTATGAATATGTGGGGAGTGACACGAAATCCTTTGGGCAGTTGGACGTGTGGAGAATTAAGTGTTTCCTGTCTTTAAAGAACCCACAGATGGAAGAAATATGGGCTCTGTTAAAGGGGTATAAAACAAATATAATACCATAAGACAATGAAAACTGGGAATATGTTGGAGGCAGAAAGCAACTCTGATTCCCACTGGCTAATGTTCTCTTTGACTGATTTGGGATTTTTTTTTAATTGTAATAAATGGCACCAGCATCTCTAAAGCCACAGATAAATGTAATTGTCATTACTGAACTGAACCTGTGTTCATAGGGGACCTTGGACCCCAGCTAAAGAAGGCATGTGTAGCTGGAGAGAATCAAGACGAGAAATCAGAGCAGGCATGAAAAAGTAGCAGCCTTTCCCTTCTGACACCTGTGATTTTTGTAGTGAAAAGTGAGGTATTGATATTCCCCACAAGCAGAACTTTTTCCAGCCAACCAGGTCAAAACCAAGGACATCTGATCAGTTCCCTGCAGATAGTGCAGTGATCGCGGTGCTTGCGGGAAAGTGTCTGTCTGAACAGGACCCTTTAGGAGGCGTCCTTAAATTCATGGCTAAAATCATGATGGCCCCATAAGAAAAGAAAATCAGCAATAAACCAAACCAAGCTGCTAAAATGTAAAACGTGGACCTGGCTCATCTTGGGAGGGAGAACTCAAACACAGATCAATTCCTTTTCAGAATCTTGCCAACACCTGCACCGCCTCTCTCCTTGAAGTTGAGCTGCTCAACTTTATGAACTGTGAAATTTACATTTATACTCTTCCAACCCACATACACCATTTAAGTTTATGAAGTCGCAGCAAGCTGCCCATGTGACTCAATTGTAGTGTTTATTCTTGTCTCATGTGGAAATAAAACAATAATCATATGGGAAAATATTGTGACAGTCCATTCCAACTGTTTTCAGACACATCCATAAACACCCTTTGTTCACATTCCGGAACCACCTGCACATCGTCCACATAGCTCCTCGAGAAGTCCGGGGTGAGTGTGGATGGATAGAGGGCCCTTCGTTTTCCAAACACTGTTTAACAATTCACTACTCATCATGCCTCAAAGGTATAAGAGTAACATTTTTAATAACAAACTGGAAAACAAAACAGTTCTCCAAAGAACCTCATGAACTAGTCAAAGAAACTTCTAACTTTGTCCACCGGAAAAGTTAGTTCTGATGTTGGACACATGAGACTCTCAGAAACTCCATCCATTATATCAATTCCTGCTATTTTTCTAGTACCGTAAATGCTTCCGGCTGCTGGAGTGAGGGGAGGAATGTGCGCAGAGCACACAGACGGAGAGTGGGACTTCCCTAGTGGGCTGTGGTAGCGTGGAATTGCTGTGGCCGCTTCTTGTCAAATCCCATCGTTTGGTCTTTAAAACCCAGTGTTTTAAAATCTGTCTACTTGTGAAAGCCAGAGGTAAACGTGATTTCAGTTAAAACTATATAGAAGTATCTTCTGTCATTTTGCTGCTCTGTCTAATTTTTAGGCTATGATTTTTGTAATGAGCTTATCAGATGACAAATTTCCTTTGTTTACAATCTCATGTAGTAGGGCTCAGATCATTTCTCAGCTATAAACCTCTTCTCCCATTTTCATATTAAGTTCCATTTAAGATGGAACTGTTTAAACTAAGCCTCAAAATTGAGCTCAATTAAAAATTGTGGCATTTTCCTTAACTTAAATGGAAGCAGTATATTCTTTTCAAGGAATTTTAGAACCATTCACTATTCCTTGGCTTGGGAAACTGAAGTTGTTAAGCACCAGTTAACAGCTGCATTGCTTTCCAGAGCATTACCTAACGGGCCCCATGTGCACCTCAAGCTAAACATGGTCTGTGACGTCTAAAAACTTTATTGTTGATCTCAATGGGTCTGAAATGTCTATAAATAAAGAAATTTTAAAAATTACTCTTCTTGCAATTGTTCCTCAGTGAGTCACGCCTACTGTATAGTTTTCTAGACTCTCTCTTCCTCATCCTCATTAAGAAGGGAACTTGTCTAAAGAAATTTTTTTTTTTTTTTGGATCTTTAAAACTATAGCTTTATTGAGGAAACATTGATGGATTATAAACTGCACATATTTAAAGCATACAATTTGATTAATTTTGACAAATATATTTATCCTTGAAATTATCACCACAGGTAAGATACTAAACTTATCAATTATCCTCAAACATTTTCTTTTTTAAATATTTTATTGTTTATGCTATTGCAGTTGTCACTTTTTGTCCCTTCAGCCCACCCCACTCAGCCCCCCCACACACACACTCAGTCCCCACACTGTTGTCCATGTCCTTGGGTCCTTCATATAAGTTCTGTGACCAATCCCTTCACTTTCTTTCAGTCAGTCCCTGCCTCCCCTGGCCCCTCTTACAGCTCTCCGTCTATTCCATGATTCTATGCCTCTGGTTCTATTTTTGCTCATTATTTATTTTGTTCATTAGATTCCTCTTATAAGTGAGAACACATGGCATTTGTCTTTCACCGACTGGTTCATTTCATTGATAAGTCCATTCTTTATTAACAAGAGGTTGAAAACTATGGCTGTTGTACAGAGGAGAAGCCGGGAGCCAAGTCACGTGATGGCCTTCAAGCAGAACCCAGTACCTGTGGGATCAGGAGTTAGAACAGAGGACGAGTATAGATGAACTGGTGAGCTCTTAAAAAAAGTGTACATGTTTAGGCAGGGAAAAGGTAGCACAGAGGCCTATCTCTGACTTTTCTCTCATTATATCTCTTTGGTTTAAGTTTTTAAATTGTATAATTGCATGTAGCATAAACAAGTGAGTGGAAATGGTGTAGGGCGCTAGAGAAAGTCAAGAGCATTTAGCGCGCTGTGGGATCCATCTGTAAGTTTTAGATAAAAGTTGGCACATGGCAAGTAAAGGTTGGTTAAGAGGGCTTTTATTGTACTCCAAATGGCATGAGATAGCTTCCCAACATTCACACCCTAAGTATGCATGTGCGTGTGTGTGTACGTGCATGTGTGTGTGTGTGTGTGTGTGTGTGTGAAGCCATTGGGTCGAGGGGCTTTGGGGGAGGGTGGAAGGTATGGGAGACCATGGGATCAGATTTCCTGAGGCCTGGTGGGGCTTCCCCCAAGCGTCACACTGGAAAAAAAGTTTTTTTATTTTTTTTTCAGTGTTACTTACAATCTCATGAAAAGAAATAAAATTAGTAAAGGAAGTTTGGGTACCCCCTAAACCAACACCTCTAGGTCTCAGCACTATTGACATTTGGGGAGGGGTAATTTTTTGTGGGGGCTCCTCTGCACTGTGGGATGTTTAACAGCTTTACAGCCTCTACACCCCCCAGGTGCCAATAGCAGCTTCTCTAAGTTGCAACAATCGAAAATGTCTCCAGACATTTCTAAATGTGCCATGGGGGACACAATGGCCCCAGGGTGGGAACCACTGCTCTGAATCCTGAGAGGACAACCAGGGACCTGAAAAGCAACGGAAAGAGCGCGGAGCCTGACTCTGGCTGGCTGCACTGAGGCAAATCCGCTTTTTCCTCCTGAGTAATGTGGACTCAGGAGAAAGAAAGTCTTACTGTTTCTTCAGCTAGTCAGTGCACCCCCACATCATTCATTTCATCTTAGTACTTCAGCCTGCAACCCTCCGTCCTATTCCACAGGGAGAAAGCCTGTGACTACACACACAGGTGCCCAGCTTCCTAGAAGAAACTACAGGATCCATGGAGGTTGTCTAAACCGTCCAAGGATCCACTACCTCGGGGTCCTGGGAGCGCTTACATCAGGTAGACACCAGGACACATGACTGCCCCAGACTGGATATTGCAAAGTAAATCTGAGTTGAGAAACAAGTTGGGTTAGAATCAAATATGTTTGAAACCCTACATATCTGAAGTTAGAAAAAGCCAAATCATTGAAAACAATGCTAAGTGCTGGGTAAATTCCTACTTCACTGAATGAATTTTCCCAGAAGCCCCTTCCCGCACCTCAGCCCCTTCTTGCTTATCTAACTTGTACACATCCTCCAGGGCTCACCGAGCAGCACCCCCAGGCTTATTAGGAGTCACCCTTCCGTGCTGACAGCTTTCCCAGCACACCTCTGGCCCCTTGTCAACTGTACGCTCTTCGGTATCAGGGCCTATGTCTTTTGTTGTGTATCTTCAAAAGTAGATTTGACTGGAGTTTCTATCAAATGTCAGCATGAGTACCATCACATTTCTGGTGGCAGCCAGTCTTTGTACCACCAAGATCAAGATCCTGCAGCCCCACGATAAGAACAAATTAAAGTGAAGAGAATGATATACATGAAATTTGTATGGGTCATAAAATTTATGAGTAGAATGAAAGAGCAAGATACTAACTTGTTTAGAGATCCCAGATTGAGTTTGCATCATTTGGCAATGAATAAATTTTTCTTCTAACGGTTTAATTAAGCCAATGACTTCATTTTTATGCATATGATGAACTGAACAAGATCAGTGTGTTCCCATAGATTGACTCAAAAATTGGCGCTAAAAGACACACATGATTGAAAAGTAGTAGACAAGGTTGAATGACCTAAGCAAAGAGTAATCTCAGGACCAGAGGCAGTAGTGGGTGAAGATAAGAAACCGGCCAGGAGACATTTTGCAGGGCAAAGGAAATACCATCTGTGGGCAGGTCACAGACGTTTAGAGCCACAGGGAACCTTGGAAATAATTGGGTCCAACCTAACTTTATAGGAATGAAGCCTATGAGGGTACATGACTCCTCCAGACCACAAATGGTTTGCAACAGAACCAGAGCTAGAAATATAATCTCCTAGTTCTCTATTTTGTGTTCATTCCATGGCAACATTGTCTCCTAATTTCTTCAAATTTTAATTTTTTAAAATAACATTTAATAGTCTTTTTTAGCCCTTGGAATGCCCTACCTAAGGCAAAAAAGAAAAAAGAAAAGAAAGGAGACAATCTTGAACTGATGGCCCCTAGGTACTGCTAGCTGATTTCCTAGGCAGTTCCCTAGGAAATCAAGAGAAACCTCCCCTGTTTTTCTGCTTGTAAAATGAAAGCTCTGAACATGTCTCCTGCTTTTTCATCAAAAAATATGACTCTGGAGATATAAGTGAAACAGGTATAAGGTATTTTTTTAGGACATGCCTCTTTCAAGTATGTTCATCCCACAGTATCCACGGTAAGCCCCTAGGAAGAATTACAAACTGTGCCACGTAGGTGAAGAAGCAGCTGTAGTACTGAATATGGCCACATGGTGTCAGTCTTTTCTAACTGGCTAGTGACTACCCCAGGATTAGCCCAGTCGACTCTGTGATGGGGTACCATGGTGAGTCTTTAGTACAGAGTAAAATTTTAACTCCAGTCATATAGGTGGTCTTGGTCCTCCCACCAATCACTTTCCCACTTCCTTTAGTTAGCCAAAAGCATGAGGAGCCAGAAGATGTGGAAACCAATAAACAAAAAGAAGTGGCTCAAAAAAGAAGGCATTTGAAAGTGGGGCAGGTAGAGTTTTTTCAAGCCATATGTCCCTGGGGAAGAGAGTAGAAAGGGATTTTTCAAAGTGCAAAACTGACCTGTCAGAAGCCTTTCCCCTTCTTGGGTTTGAGTCTCTGGAATTTTCAAAATGAATAGTGCAAATTGGAAGTTCTACCTCATTTTTTAATCCCACTGGCTGGTTTTGAGCAACAAAACCCTCAGCCAGAAACAAAATCTATCAAGCATCATTATAGAAAAACTGCTATTCAAATTAGGGTTGAAAAAGCACATCTCCTTCAATCCTCCTTCACCTTCATAGCCAAACCATGAGCCTACTACCTAATTGCTCCTGGAAGGAAGAACAAAGCAAAGATGAATTCTAACAAAGAGAATGTCACACTTTCATTTTTGCATAAAGATGTTCATTCTTTATGCTTTTGACTACTCTCAGTAAGTAGCACAACTATTGACAAAGTATAGGAAGTCTCTTTTTCAACTCAACTTTTAAGGAGATGACTAATGTTACAAAGTCAGTAAACAACCTATGATTTCAGTTTTAGTTTAGGTTGCCATCTTGAAACAGTATAATTTCCAACAAAGATTTTTCTATAACCATACTTAACCTGTTTTTTTTTTCCTTTTCAGTTCTCACCCTAGGACATGCTTATTGATTTTAGAGAGAAGGGAAAGGAGGGGGGGGAGAGAAACATCTATGTAAGAGAGAAACATCAAACAATTGCCTCTTGCGTATGTCCCAACTGGGGACCGAACCCACAATCTAGGTATGTGCCCTGACGGAGAATTGAACCTGTGACCTTTTGGTTTAGTGGACAATGCTCCAACCAACTGAGCCACACCATCCAGGCCTTAACCTCTTCTAAGTCACATTTCAGTTATTGGTGGTTAAGAGTCGTGGAGATACCACGATTACACTAACTTATACGGTACCAGGATCCATGAATCAGTTAATCATTCATAGTTTGTTATTTGAGCGGTTGAGATAACTAACTTATCTTTCACAGATAACAAGCTGTAAAAGAACAGTTCAAAATATAGAATGAGAAAATGAAGTACAAGTTCTCTTTCTTCAGTTAACTCTTAGGTATATCTTACCAGAATTCATCCTCAAGGGATAAAACGCTAATACCCTTGCCGGCTTCTTTGAGAGATAGGGTGTTTACTTTTTGTCTTACCATGTTGCCAGCATCGGCCGCTTCTGGAGCATTCATCCGCCATCCACAGGCTCTGTCCCTTCCTGACTGTCACCCAGAGCTAGAGTATGATTTTGGTGTAGGATTCTAAAGGAGAAAACAGTTGTTGCTGAAAATGAGACTTTGATACCCAGCAAGCCCTCAGCAATTCCAGCACCGCGTTTCGGGCTGTGGGTCACCCAACTCATTTCACTTTATTCCCTGACCTAGCTCA